ATTCAATTTATGAAAGAAAAAGTAACATTAGAGCTGAGAAACAGTAGAGGAATTATAAATTTCCTTACGAAATACAGTTATATGTACCGAACAATAATGTACAACAGTCCGCCAGCCAGCCTCGTTACGTTCCAACTCTGGCTGCGAGAGGTCGTTTGTTGAGTTGCGTGACACTGTAATTGTAGACTGATCCTCACGGCAAAGGGAGGAAGAAAGTCAAGTAAAACTAAAAATTTCATCATATTATTTGCTCCCGATATTTCTGGGGGGCTAAAACAAAATGGTTGGTTTATATTCGTGCTCTGTTTTAAAGTTGTCACTGCAATTTATCACCAAATACACCGTACATCATAGTCTGAGCTCCTAATGAGCGTTTCCTGTATGGAATAACTTAATGTCAAGTAATATTGCGATTACAAAAATAATTGCAATTTAAACCTCACTGTGCAATAACTCATCTCAATGCCCTTAAGACCCATCTCGATACGTTTACTCTGTCAAACGGCAACACGAACAACGTATATTTATTAAGACTACAAGCTCGTGTGAGCATTTCCGGCATGGAAAAACTTGTCACGTGACATTTCAGTTATTGCAAAAACATCTTTGATGTAAGCCCCACTGCACGATTAACTCATCTCCATACCCTTTAGACCCATCTCGATACGTTTGCTCTATGAAACGGCAACGCAAACACTATAGCTAGCAGCTCGTGTGAGCATTTCCGGCATGGAATAACTTGTCACGTGATATTTCAGTTATTTCAAAAATAGTTTTTAATGTAAACCCCACTTTAGGATTAACTCATTTCAATGCCCTTTAGACCCATCTCAATACGTTTACTCCGTGAAACGGCAAGACGAACAACGTATATTTACTAAGACTAGAAGCTCGTGGACCATTTTCGGAATGGAATAACTTGTCACTTGACATTTCAGGAGGGGGACATGGGGATTTACGGTATTGCGGTATTGGTTTTTTTTTCATGCGGTATTTCGGTAAATTTAATTTTAACGTGAGGTATTGCGGTATCATCTAGCTCTGCGGTATGCGGTTTTCTTCTTTTTGGGTGACGGTATTCGGTGAAATAAGATTGTTCACGGTATTACGTTACCGTTTACTTGCGCTTTCCAATCGGTACAATACACAAAACAAAACACAGTAAGACATAAAGGTTAATAGAAGTTAATATTTAGAAGTCTTGACACATAACGGTAAATAATTACACCATTTGTGGGTCATTTTGTGACAGTTAATGGTCGATAATATACAATGTGATTGTTGTTGCATCCAATGATAATGAGTCGCCTCAAGTTACCTTACCAGGCTTTTCGATCTGTGTACCTGTGCCGGTAATTCGAGGTCTTGGACGTTTTCTCACAATGTCTGAGGTCGCTGAGGTTGAAGACGGCGTGGTCATCATTGACTGTGTGGCAATTTTTTAGCGGAGCTCTCGCGCGCAAAGCGCGCCAGCGGAGCACCATGGGTAAGAAAATGAAGTAATCTACCCATCCGAGAAAATTTGGTAATCACGTGACCGTACATCTACCGACCGACCGCCCGAGAGACCGCCCGTCCGCACCACAGGCATACCAATGTAAAATAACTCAATCAACAGGTATGGCAACCGAAATGCAACTCGAGGTTATTTTGGCGGGAAATCGCATAGCCACCGGCGTCTTGTAAAGCAGAGACAACAAAAGAGTCAATAAAGACGAAAACGGAAAGCGGAAATTTTTTCTGTATCCGTGTTGCCTAAAGTATTAAGCTTAGATAAATTGTCATGTCCACAGATTTGGAATATAGAGCAAGAGAAAGACAGAGAAAAAGAGAAACTGGGCGCTAGGCCAGCCAAGCTCAACGAGAAAAAGGGCGACGGAGATTTAAAAAAGAAAATTTTGTAGCGGCGGTGATGAAATGAGAAATGCTTGCGGCCACCAATAAAGTAAGGTGAAAATGAGCGGCAGTGAAAAAAAGTGAACGAGAACACGTACGACATTTCCTCCATAAAACGTGTAACTAAGGCCCTGTTTACATGGAGGTGGGGGACCCCAGGTAGGTGAGATAACCCGTTTAGGTGAGGTTAAATATTAACCCTCCTTTACATGCAACCTTACAACCCCTCCATCCCGGGGTGCTCTTTTTCAAGATTATTGAATTGTCACTAAGCACGGCAAACCATGTGTTTTGGTGATGATTATTGCTCTTCTACACTCACTTGCTGCTCTTGCTGCAACCTTCAGTGCTGTGGCTTTGTATTGTTACCTTTAATAATTATTCAAAGCCACCGCCAAAGTGAATTTTGTGAGAATTTGATGTATCACGAATCCGACCCCGGCTAGGCGGGTTACCCCACCTTGAAGTTTACATGGCAAAATTTGACCCCGGCTGGGCTAACCGCCTTGGCGGGTCACCCCTCTTATCATGTAAACGTAATCAAATTAAAATGAGAGGTTATATGGACAGGCGGGTTACCACAGCTAAGCGGGTTACCTCACTTACCTGGGGTCCCCCACCTCCATGTAAACAGGCCCTAAGAAGTTTGTGGAAGTTTCATGTTGTAGTCGTGCAAAACAACGACAAAGAAATGTACCAAAAAAGTGTGCTGCACGTGCAAAGTTGCTTTTTTCCTAATTAGACCTATTGCTGTTTTTCACCGTTCTCCGGCGTTGCATGCCTTCGCCGCTTAGCATTACTATACACTATCAAACAATAAACTGTAAATATTACAACTATAAATATGAACAAACTATAAATATTATTGAGAGCTTCGCTTTTAGCCCTGGCTAAATCTATATATTATGAAGAGGGCGAAGGAGGCGAACAATATCGCAAAAAGAATAAGTTTAGATGTCGGGTTTCGAGAATTGAAAAACGCCTTCTAAAGTTAAAAGAGAGAATTTGGTAAGTTTGTCTCTTACTAGCGCGGCGTGTGAGACAGTCGAGATAGTTGACCCCTGAGAGACTGACGTGCTAGACTAGACTCACCTATCAAAACTCGCACTAGACGTGCGTGGAAAGGGTATTGGTTGGTTTGTTTTTCGCGCTTTCAAGAGTTATTTTTATTGGAGTTAATTAGCTGTTGGGTCGACCTACCAGAAGGCTGAACGAATGTAGTTTAATTTTAAGTGAAAATGTGCCAACTACCAAAATGTTAAAAAAAAAACATGGAAATCTGGTGCATAAATGCCTGAGATAATTAAACGCGCTAGATGGAAGCAGCCATAAGTATGCGGAACGGATTATAAATGTGATTAAAATAAGCGGTATCGGTATTTAGACGATTTTCGACGCGGTATTCCGGTATTTGCTATTTTTTCTTACGGTATTGCGGTATTGGGTACCCCCCAATGTCCCCCTCTTTCAGTTAAATGTACAAACTGAAATGTCGTGTGAGAAGTTATTCCATACCGGAAACGCTCCTACGAGCTTCAAGTCTTATTAAATGTACGTTGTTCATGCTGCCGTTTCACACAGTAAACGTGTTGAGATGGGTGTAAAGAGCATTGAGTCGAGTTAATTGTAGAGTGAGGTTTATATTAAAATTACTTTTGTAAGAATTGAAATGTCACGTGACAAGTTGTTCGTTGCCGGAAATACTCACACGAGCTTCTAGTCTTAGCAGATGTACGTTGTTCGTGTTGCCGTTTCACAGAGTAAACGTATTGAGATGGGTCTTAGGGGCATTGAGACGAGTTAATTGTAGAGTGTGAGGTTTATATAAAATTACTTTTGTAAGAATTGAAATGTCAGGTGACAAGTTATTCGTTGCCGGAAATGCTCACACGAGCTTCTAGTTTTAGTAAATGTACGCTGTTCGTGTTGCCGTTTGACACAGTAAACGTGTGGAGATGAGTCTAAAGAGCATTGAAACGAGTTAATCGTACAGTGAGGTTTACATTAAGACTGTTTTTGGAATAATTGAAATGTCACGTGAGAAGTTATTCCATGCCGAAAATGCTCACACAAGCTTCTAGTCTTAGCAAAAGTACGTTGTTCGTGTTGCCTTTTCTCACAGTAAACGTGTTGAGATGAGAGTAAAAGACATTGAGATGGGCTCAATATACGGTAAGGTTTACATTGAAATTATTTAACTGATAGTTGAAATTGCATGTGAAAAGTTATTCAACACTCGAAACTTTCGTACAAGCTTCAAGTGTTATAAATGTTCCATGTTCGTGACGCTTTTTCTCGTACTACACGTGTTGAGATGGATGTAATGGGCATTGAGATGAGCTAAACATGCGGAATAAATTATCACAAAATTGTAATAATGAGAGGTAATATGCAGCATTAAAAGTTATTCCGTAGGAAACCTTGTATCAAACTAAATAAAAATGAAGATCAAATACTATGAGGGCCCGTTCTGGTCAAAATTGCATGATTAATTTTTCCCTCTTGATGAATTAATTTGATGAGTACCTGCTATTAATATTTTGTCTGTTTGTAATTATTTTTTCCTATGCCTGTAATTATTTTCGTGTTCTTTTTAACTTTTCCATGCGTCACAATTATTTTTTTGGTCACCAGGAATTAATTTTTTTATGTGCCGTCTTTATTATTACGCTTCTTTGAAATTTTTTTTGTTCATTACACAAATTATTTTAGGGTTGCGAATTAGTTTTTTGTGTGCTATAATATTTTTTTTGGGATAATTAATTGACTTTGTCCTACGCAACTCATAATATAATGATAATTTAATTTTTTCCATTCGAGAATTATTTTTTTGTTAGTCATAATTATTTTTTCGTAGTTTTGGCAAATGTCCCATAAGCCTCTGCGGTAATGCACCTAAAACAAACATGGCGGCTCGTACTCGTCGGTCATGCCCAGTGGTGTTACGAGAGAGAAATGAACGTGGGTTCGCGCTTTTCTTACAGAATCTAAAAAGCGTTCTTAATCTGTTGGCTAGCGCTGATGAGTTAGAGACAGACGTTCTGATTCAAACGAGGAGTCGATTAGTGGATGCTTCGGGCACGTTGTCATTTCTGCTGAATGACATGTCGAATGGTCTCACAAATGCTACTGGTATTCCGTCAAATGCGATTCAAGTTCCTGTGCAGCACCTGAAGAATTCTTTAACCCACATAATTGATTTGCTTTCAAGTCGGATAGAAGGCCGCAACAATGTAGACTTTTATGACTCACTGGATATATCTTATTCTGCACCGCTGGATCTTTCACAAACAGGACGAGGTCGTAAACGCTATGAAATAACTAAGGACCAACTCGAACACTTACGATCGCTTTATTTTTCTTTGGAAGCAATTGCTGGCATTCTTCAGGTTAGTCTTTCAACCCTTCAGCGGCGACGAAGAGAACTCGGTGTGAACACCCCAGCCTATTCAGAAATATCAGATGACGAACTGGATGAAATTTACAGAAGCGTAACTGGCAGTTCAAGCACGGGACCCCTTACCCCCAACATTGGTAGGAGGCGATTTATAGGAGCCCTGAGGAGTAGAGGCTGGAGCATTCAAAGATGGAGAGTAAGTGATTGTTTAAGACGTAATATTATGTACCAACCCCTAACAGCTTATGGCATATAGATTCGGGCCACAAATTAATAAGGTACAAGTTGATAACACACGTCTGTATTGATGGGAAAACAAGGTTAATTTTGTATGCTGCTTGCAGAGACAATAACAAAGCAGAAACAGTCCTTTCTTTGTTTCAAAATGCGGTGCAGAAATGGGGGTTACTCTCACGCGTCCGATGTGACTACGGTATGGAGAATTATCATGTTGGCGCCTACATGATACAGCACCGCGGACCAGGCAGAGGCAGCATGATTACTGGATCATCTGTCCATAACTCTCGAGTTGAGAGAACACATCGTGATGCCTATTCTGGGGTGTTAGCATTCTATTCCCGTGTTTTTCAACCACTGGAAGATGAAGGCAACCTAGATGTCCTAAATGATGTTCATATCTTCAGCTTACATCACATCTACATTCCAAGAATACAAAATTCTCTAGAGGAGCTTGTCAGTCAAATGAATAATCGGCCAGTATCAACTGAACGAAACCATTCACCACTTCAAATGTGGGAGAGGGGTATGTGAGAGAACTTGCACTCTGGACATACTGCACTGAGTGAGGCTGAGATTGAACATTTGGGGGTAGATCCAGATGGTGTGCTTTCAGTGGAGGTTGAGGATTATCAGGTAGAGATTGATCCACCATCGGTCAGCCTTTCAGAAGAACAGAAAGGAGAACTTCCAGATCCTCTCACAAATGATGGAAACAGTGGAAAAGATATTTACTTGCAATGCATTGAGGTCGTTAATGGATTTCTTTGCTCTAGTTAAGTATTCTAGGGTGAATTGAACCAATCACACAAACACTATTGTTGTATTACTATGGGCGATGTAAATCCCAAATGGGTCCATACTTGTATACTTCAGCAAGATTGCTATTGACAGTTGTTATTCGTACACTCAAATTGCATTTTTACTGTATTTTAATTATTATAGTACAGTAAAAATCCCATTTCAAAAATTCCAAGATACAAAGTGGCCTGCAAGCCATACTAAGGATGCCATTGCCCCTGTACTTTTTTTTTGGTGTGGTTATTAGGGCCATTGTTGTTGAGAAGTTCCTCAGATTAATGGACTGTCTACCTTTTACCAGTTCTACCAGTGAAAAACAGAAAACTGAAGTTTTGGTAAAATGATGTTGTCTATTAAAAGGCCTCATTTTAGAATATGTTATTAAATACTTTTAATTGTCCAATTATGTCTCACTGTTGTGTCTCATGGGGTGCTTACACTGTATCAGGAATCAATCATCAGCGATGCAATTTTATTTATTATGCTTATGCACTTAACCATCTCCTGGGGGAGACCTCAGGCAAGTACAGTGTTGTATGGAGACTTTCAGTGGGATTTGAAGAACAATAATATTATTTTACCCTGAAGGTTGGGGAAATGAAGGAGTTTTAGTACCCAAAAGTCATGCACTGCATGGAGTTATATATGTCTGATTTAGGTAGTGTGATTAGGGCTAATTGTGTTTTAATCTGTTTTGTGCCTGTATAGTCGCCAGGAGGTACTCCTCGCAATTCTTGGTGGGGATGTGCCACTGGTTCTTGAAACCCTGACCCTATTTCAGACTAAAAATTGCCACTTTTCCACATGCATTCTAAGACTCAACCTCAGAAGTGAACAAGAATAAGCTGTGAAACTTGAATGATATGTTTTACTCGGTTCTCTGTCTTGTTAATTTAGTTTGGGTTGAAAACGTTTACATTTGTTTGTTTTACTTCCAAACCGGGTATAAACCATACTCGAGTTAAAACCATAATGTGAAATCCTATGCACTTTTTAAGACCAAAACGACTTCAAAACCACACCCTTAAGGGCGGCACATACCTATACTGCCTATATAGGAGAGTACCCCTCTCCCCCTCCTTGTATAGTTTTACCACACAAAGACTGAAATGGTTGCCACTATTGTTATAGACATTCTGTAAGTGCTAATCCAATCCCTACTGGTACTTCATATTAGAAGCAAGACCACACAGTGACAATCTAGCCATGTGGCAAGTTGAAAAATCAAAATAATATTGTTGAAAAACGCGTTCCCAATTATCTTTTTGTTATTATATTGTATTGTTCACAACAAATGAGAAATAATTTCACAGTTAAAAACGTAATTTACATGATCAAACTTTACTTCTGTTAGTCAAGTCAAGAAAGCTCTATTATGGTACCGTATTGTACTCAGGAGTGTTTTCATGTTGCTGAACATGATCCCCCTCTGGGAGGGGGGATTTGATTGCCTGAACAACCCCATAAACAGCATCCTACACTAACTCCCGTCGCTTCCCTGGGTTTCCCTAAGGGATGTGTAGTGATAGTGCAGTACCTTGAACTCAGACTACTGTCAATCCTACATATCAGTGAAACCGAAAGGTTATTGTTTTTAGTGGGAGGGTGATTGAGTTCCACATTAAATCACTTAACTATTTAAAAAAGAGGATGAAACAAGTGTCCTTTGCTTGGTACATAATGTAGTGGGAAGGTTTTCCCTCAAATGTTCTCAATTGTTACAATGAACATTCTTTTTCATCTCTAGTCCTTGCTTTATGGGTTCAAGGTGACTGTTATGTAGTGTTTATTTAAGGTAAATTATATGAGAACACACAGACAAATCAACATGTTTATTAACCTACATGACTAACAGTAACAAAACATTCCTTGAAGAAAGGAGTGTCTTAGGACACTAATCAATGATGCTGGTCACTGAAACTGTCATACTTAATATTAAGCAAGCTCCTATGAAAAAGTACTTTCCTTTCAAAATAAGAGGAGTTGCAGAAAGTATGTATGTCCACCCTTGGCAAATAACTGACCCACAAAATAATAACAAAAATGACATTGTCAGTGAAAAACTTTAAATTCAATTTCTTCAAAAATTTTAAGAATAACATATCTTTACTTGCATTAATGAAGACAACTCAACTTACTGAATTTGGTGACTTTCTGATAACATAAATCAATAAAGCAATCTAGCCTTTTAACTCTAAACCATTTTACTTTTTGCCAAAGTAACACTGCAAGAATGCCAAGTCATACAGGGCAAACAGTCTCTGGGTAGAGGGCAAAGGCAATGCATCAGTCGGTCTTGGGACCTGAAGCAAATTGGTGCAGGTATGAGCTAGAGGCAGGAAGCCACCCTCCACATTTGGGTGTTGCCCTTCACTAAGTCCTTGCTGACTTGTAACTTTCAATTCTGTGGGTAATATGAACTCCAACGACGGAGCAAGCATAAAACCAAGGACGGGTTCCTCTGGTGAACCAGTGGCAAATTGAAGAATATGACTCAAATTAAGGGTAGTCTTTCCACATACCCTCCTGGAAGCTGCTACTTCACAAACATATCAAACAAAGAGTTGATAAACTTCTTTTTCCTTTTTGAGTGCATTGGACCCCTCCTCTGAAAACTGTGGCTTCAAAATGTGAAGCAGCATTTGCACTCCAAGCTTCTGCTGTCCTTGAGGTCTCAGGAGATGAATCAACATTGGCAGCTCCTGAAGGGCTGATAACATTCCCAGCACTTCGAGACCTTGTTGAAGTTTGGCAACACAAGGATCCAAACACGTGCTTTCAGAAACAATTTGCTGCAGAATATCCTCCTCTGCAAACAAAGGCAGCTGGCCATTTTGAAGAATGGCTATTGCCATGATCATTATTCCAACATTAAAATAATCTTCTGCCAACAATGGCCTTAAACCATGGTCAAAGTATTTTTGTTTTATGGCTTGGTTCATTAATCATATCCATTCTTTTCGTGGCCCATCATAATCTACACATTCCTCTCCCATAAAGTCCACCTGGAATGTTAGTCTGTAGTTGGATATATATTGAAGTTCAGCAAATGTTGTTTTTAGTATATTGTCTCTGTCGACTGTTATGTAATTTGTTTCTCCTTCAATGGTGTCTTCTGAGCTTGTGACTGTGACTTCTAAGGGTCTTCCAGTTACTATCTCCTTCTGTAGGTATTTGAGCACTTCTACGGGGTCACTCAACTCTCCCTCTTTAGCACCCCTGATAATTGACTTAATGTTCAAAGAACTTGATTGTGACTGACTCTCATTGGCATTGAGTGTTGAACTTTCGTCTGGATTAGAGGATTCAGTGCCATTTGCTGAGTTTTGACGAGACAATCCTACCTCCATCTGGAGCATCGGTCAAGTCTATACACAAGCCTGGATCACGCGGATCATCGGTGTCTTCAACAGCAAAAGGAGAAACTAAAAGTTTTTTATCACTAGGATCCATGAAAGAATCTGGTAGCTCCTCTAGCAGTCTAAGATATACCCATCCTGACGGGGCAATTGATTTGAGTAGAAGCTTAGCATCAATGTCTTTTCCTGCAGGGAGATTTGGTCTTATCAGGGTGCCGCCACTATTCTTGACGATTTCAAAATACAGTCCCTCCATATAACCTGGTAGTAAACGTGCTATTTCGTTGTTAAGTGTTTTGGCATCCCACCTTCTATTGATGTCAAAACCCGAAATGATTCTGCCGGATCTTTCCAATTCAACTTTCTCGGATTTTGTTGGTATTTTCTCTCTTCCAAATCCAAGATTACAATATCTTTCGAGACTGTTTCAGACGTCAATGGTCTCCCAGCTGTGCGTCTTACGTTACGATACGGTCGGAAAGTATTGGATCTTTCATACCTTCCTGTTGCAGCATTCCTGCTTGACCTTGCTGAAACTGTTGGGAATCGCCTTCGTAATTCCTCCAAAGCAGTACCAGCTCGTGGAGTCGCTACTTGCAGCTCGTTTGAAGACGTTGATGCCGCTGTTGGCCTTTGTTCCACTAGCGAAACAAGCTGTTGGATGTGGCTGATTGCAGTGCTAGCAATGGACTGAATAGAAGCGGGATCGTTGTTGGAATGGTTAGAAGACGCCATGTTTGTTTCAGAAAGCACATGGCAAGAGCTTCGCCGCAGAGGCTTATGGGACATTTGCCAAAACTACGAAAAAATAATTATGACTATAAATAAAAAAATAATTCTTTAATGGAAAAAATTAAATTATCATTATATTACTGTTATATTATGAGTTGCGTAGGACAAAATCAATTAATTATCCAAAAAAAATATTATAGCACACAAAAAACTAATCCGCAACCCTAAAATAATTTGTGTAATGGACAAAAATAATTTCAAAGAAGCGTAATAATAAAGACGGCACATAAAAAAATTAATTCCTGGTGACCAAAAAAATAATTGTGACGCATGGAAAAGTTAAAAAGAACACGAAAATAATTACAGGCATAAGAAAAAATAATTACAAACAGACAAAATATTAATAGCAGGTACTCATCAAATTAATTCATCAAGAGGGAAAAATTAATCATGCAATTTTGACCAGAACGGGCCTTCATAAAATACTGCTCTATTGCGATGTCACGCAACAAATATTCGTCATTCAGAACAGCTGAACGGGTTTGAAAAACCTTGTTCAAGGCGAATGTAACAGTTCTCTTACTGGTTCTTATAAATAATGTGAATATTTCTCGCTTAAATCGAATTGGCAGACAACTTCAA